ATGGGCCAAGGTGCCAAGCTAAGATCAAGAAGAACAACAGCTCCATCTACAGGGTGCCGGTAGGGCAGTCCCCATCCCAATTAAGATGTGGCCATAGTTAGGGATAACAGAGTAACTGTAAGCCGCTCAGAGACCCCCCTAGGGGGTTCGAGCGGGGTAGAAGCCGAAAGTAATAAATAAATTATGGGTCAGCTTGCGCCAGGGTGCCACAGTACCTCTCACAGAGTCTGATTTGCTTGTATATAGTTATTTTTCTCTATTGTGTGTCTGTGTTGCATTGCTCTATTATTTGCAGTACACTTTTAATCACAACTTCTGCCTGCTCTTCTGACTGTCTTCCTGGTTTGCCAAATGTCTCCTGGCTGCCTTGCAAGACAGTATTTTCATTGCCTCTTTGTCCTACCTATCTCCAGTTTAGAAGGAAGAATACTGGGGGTGAACCCCTTTGCAGTTCCCTCAAAATTTAATTCCACTTGGAATTACAGTCTCGAAGAGTGTAATTTCACTTGGGAGGGAAATAAAGAGGTTATTCTTAGAAATGTATTTTGTATGCATATATCTGTAAAACAAAGATGGTTTCTTATATCTGCATGGAATTTATTTATTTATTTAGATTTGTACCCCACCATCCCCGCCATAGCAGGCTTACGGCGGCCAGATCCTTCAGAGGAGAGGGATAGTCTACATATTGTAAAAGAAAATGATATATTCAGGAAAATGAATCCCAGTAAAACCAATGGAGATTCAAATGAATGAAAATCAGACACAATGGAAGTAATAATGACAACTAAAAATGGGGTTAATATTGAATAAAATGATATGAACTTGAAACAATTTTTGTACCCCTTTAGGATTTATGAGATGTTCATTTCCTCTTATGAAAATACATGATGCAGAATCAAGATCAGTTGCTTTTCTCTGATCAGTAAACTATAAGTATTTCTACAAACACAAACATGGAGACAGTATAGAGAGGAAACTGGGAAAATGGTGGCAGGACCTGCCTTAGTATTATGTACATTTCCTTGAAGGTCCTACATGTGTAGATGTGTTGATGGATAGGTACCTATCTACACAACTGGGAACCCTGTAAAAACAGGGGTTCTGAGCATGCATTGTGGGATCTCTACACATTTTCAAGGCGGCATGTTATGCTTGGATCAGTGCTTACCACTACAGTATACTCATACACTCATTCAGCATTGACAGATACGTTTTATTAAGGTGAATGTGTCTACGAAGTGAAACTTAGTGGCAGGAAGAGCTATTTTAGCTCTTACTCTTCTGCTATAGTCCCTCATTCCACTATAAATGTAGAGGATGCTTTGGACATAGGGTTGCCAAATTCTATGTGGGACCTGGAGTTCTGTCAAAAAGAGACCAGTTCATCCAGAAAAAATGGCACCTTCACAGGGCAGGCTATATTGTATACCAGAGATTCTAGGTGTCCAATCCAAGAAGCAATTGATATAGTACAGCTTTTATGACTACTAGGTTGAACTCTATACCATCTCAAGTAATGAATGGTCCCTATAAGAAGGTGCCCTAGTCAGAGAGGCTGTGCTAATGTGCTTCTGGGAAAACGGAGATTATGGAACATTTTAAAATTGGAATGTCCCTTTTTCTCAAATGTGAGAAATGTGTGGATTATTTCATCCCTAGGTGGGATAGTAGGCGCATTGGTGGGAGAAAAAATGGGGAGACCTTTGGCCAGGGTAGATTTGGAGGTTGCTTTTCCTGTTGATATATATTTTTTTGCACATTATAGCAAGTAGAAAATGATTTTAAAATGTTTTCTCAGCCTGGTTTATGAGGATTCTAATGTGGCACTACTCAAAACCTATAGGCTAAATGAGTAGTATCATTCAAGTAAGTATGATGTGATCGATTCTAGGTGAAATTACTCTCCAAATTTCCTCCTCCACAGGCACTGCTCCTAAACCCTCAGGAATTTTCCAGGTTGGAATTCGCAAACCTTTGCCTGCCCGCCCCTCGACTGAAACACAATAGAATTTATGGGTTAAACTGGGAATTTTATTTATGCATCCAAGGGATGATGGAGGGAGTTAATGACATGGCATTTGTTGCTGCCTATCAGCTGTTAGAAAGAGAAGAAGTGATTGGATTTATACCCCACCCTTCACTACTTGAAGGAGTCTCAGAGTGGTTTGCAATCCCTTTTCCTTCCTTCCCCACAACAGACACCCTGTGAGGTAGGTGGGGTTGAGAGAGCTCTTTCGAGGACTGCTCTTTACAGAACAGCTCTGGAAGAACGTATGACTGACCCAAGGTCACTGCAGCAGTTCTATGCTGGAGGAGTGGGTAATCATACCTGGTTCTCCCAGATTAGAGTCTGTGCTCTTAACCACTACAAAACTGGCTCTTTGACACCAAATTAACCAAACATTCGAGTGATCTATTTCCTTCCAGGATGTTTCCCTTCATATTCTCAGAAGAATTAATCTGAATTTTAGCTAAGGAGAAGAAAAAGGTCCAAAGAAAATGCAAGTCTTGCACAACCTTGGCTTATTTCTGAGTCAGCTAACATGCCCAAGACGTGTAATGATCTGTAGAACCCTGTCCTTAATCTTCTCATTCCCAAAAGTGCCTAAAGTACAACCAGTGTACACAGACTGTAAGATTTACTGTGTTGCCTGCTGTTGATTACATTCCAGACCTTCTGAAACATCACATTTGAGGATTAAGATTTACCGGAGAACAGGTACGCATAACCTCTTGTTCAATTTATTATGGAAATTAAAATAGCTTTTTAACAGCTTTGTATTCTAAATTATCTTCTTTACAAGGCATGCTTTAGCACAATTAAATGAGCACAGTTTACCTGTAGTTAATTTCATTGAATGCACAATAACCAAGCTCGCAATCAAGACCTTAAATCCTATGGAAATTCTCTGGCCATATAAGGATGAAGCTTAATTAACTTTCTGTAAATTGAACCCATCATAGCTAGTTTTCTAAAGAGCTTCATGTAGAATGTTATCATTTGCTGACCGACCTAATCAACTCACTGGTAATTCTCTAAAACAACTTTAAAAACACTATTAAGATTTGATACCTTTATCTCAAAATGTATTAATGGAGTTTTTATCTTTACAGTTCTTGCACACTACTTTAAACTTTCCCTGCTGGAAGTGACTGAGGTTCCAAAGAAACAGTCTTTTGAACAACTGTCATTTCTTCATTAGGACACCTGGATACCCAAAGGTGAATGGCAAATATTCATGGATTTAAATCCCTCAAGTCCTAGCTTTTTGTCTAGATTGCCTTACATCTGTTCATTAGCACTCTCACTTGCTGAGTATATGGTAATGTGGCTTTTCAACACTGTTATTACCATTAGTGATAATTAGTAGTTATACAGCTGCATTTATTTTATAACATGGAATTCATTACCTGGGCTGGCAGTGTCAACCAAGCTCTACTGGAATCTAATATTTCTGAGGCAGCAAAAATTGCCACACCAGGAGATAGACTGATTAGACTGGATATGAGTCTAAGGGGGTGGGTGTCTTTTGTCCCCGAACCCCACAAGAAAAATGGGTCCTCACACTATCTTTTCTTTTTGCTGCTGTATTTTCCAATTTCTCCTGCCAAATGTAATGATCTGAAGGAGAAGAAATTTGAAGAGGAAAGTGGCAAGATAAGCAATTTTCACATGCAGTATTTCTGAAATTAATTTTTGGATTTTTCCATGTAAAATCAGAGGACAGCTCAAGTGGGCTGCAGACCAGAACCAGCGCAGAAAACCCTAAATTTTTAAAAGTATCCTTACATGGAAAGATTAGAAAAATGCCCTGAGGATGGCGGTTTCCTGCATCTCTGTGGTAGCAGTAGCCAGACTCGCTACCCCCCCGGAGCCTGGTTGAAAGGCTCCTAGCCATGAATGGTCCCTATAAGAAGGTGCCCTAGTCAGAGAGGCTGTGCTAATGTGCTTCTGGGAAAACGGAGATTATGGAACATTTTAAAATTGGAATGTCCCTTTTTCTCAAATGTGAGAAATGTGTGGATTATTTCATCCCTAGGTGGGATAGTAGGCGCATTGGTGGGAGAAAAAATGGGGAGACCTTTGGCCAGGGTAGATTTGGAGGTTGCTTTTCCTGTTGATATATATTTTTTTGCACATTATAGCAAGTAGAAAATGATTTTAAAATGTTTTCTCAGCCTGGTTTATGAGGATTCTAATGTGGCACTACTCAAAACCTATAGGCTAAATGAGTAGTATCATTCAAGTAAGTATGATGTGATCGATTCTAGGTGAAATTACTCTCCAAATTTCCTCCTCCACAGGCACTGCTCCTAAACCCTCAGGAATTTTCCAGGTTGGAATTCGCAAACCTTTGCCTGCCCGCCCCTCGACTGAAACACAATAGAATTTATGGGTTAAACTGGGAATTTTATTTATGCATCCAAGGGATGATGGAGGGAGTTAATGACATGGCATTTGTTGCTGCCTATCAGCTGTTAGAAAGAGAAGAAGTGATTGGATTTATACCCCACCCTTCACTACTTGAAGGAGTCTCAGAGTGGTTTGCAATCCCTTTTCCTTCCTTCCCCACAACAGACACCCTGTGAGGTAGGTGGGGTTGAGAGAGCTCTTTCGAGGACTGCTCTTTACAGAACAGCTCTGGAAGAACGTATGACTGACCCAAGGTCACTGCAGCAGTTCTATGCTGGAGGAGTGGGTAATCATACCTGGTTCTCCCAGATTAGAGTCTGTGCTCTTAACCACTACAAAACTGGCTCTTTGACACCAAATTAACCAAACATTCGAGTGATCTATTTCCTTCCAGGATGTTTCCCTTCATATTCTCAGAAGAATTAATCTGAATTTTAGCTAAGGAGAAGAAAAAGGTCCAAAGAAAATGCAAGTCTTGCACAACCTTGGCTTATTTCTGAGTCAGCTAACATGCCCAAGACGTGTAATGATCTGTAGAACCCTGTCCTTAATCTTCTCATTCCCAAAAGTGCCTAAAGTACAACCAGTGTACACAGACTGTAAGATTTACTGTGTTGCCTGCTGTTGATTACATTCCAGACCTTCTGAAACATCACATTTGAGGATTAAGATTTACCGGAGAACAGGTACGCATAACCTCTTGTTCAATTTATTATGGAAATTAAAATAGCTTTTTAACAGCTTTGTATTCTAAATTATCTTCTTTACAAGGCATGCTTTAGCACAATTAAATGAGCACAGTTTACCTGTAGTTAATTTCATTGAATGCACAATAACCAAGCTCGCAATCAAGACCTTAAATCCTATGGAAATTCTCTGGCCATATAAGGATGAAGCTTAATTAACTTTCTGTAAATTGAACCCATCATAGCTAGTTTTCTAAAGAGCTTCATGTAGAATGTTATCATTTGCTGACCGACCTAATCAACTCACTGGTAATTCTCTAAAACAACTTTAAAAACACTATTAAGATTTGATACCTTTATCTCAAAATGTATTAATGGAGTTTTTATCTTTACAGTTCTTGCACACTACTTTAAACTTTCCCTGCTGGAAGTGACTGAGGTTCCAAAGAAACAGTCTTTTGAACAACTGTCATTTCTTCATTAGGACACCTGGATACCCAAAGGTGAATGGCAAATATTCATGGATTTAAATCCCTCAAGTCCTAGCTTTTTGTCTAGATTGCCTTACATCTGTTCATTAGCACTCTCACTTGCTGAGTATATGGTAATGTGGCTTTTCAACACTGTTATTACCATTAGTGATAATTAGTAGTTATACAGCTGCATTTATTTTATAACATGGAATTCATTACCTGGGCTGGCAGTGTCAACCAAGCTCTACTGGAATCTAATATTTCTGAGGCAGCAAAAATTGCCACACCAGGAGATAGACTGATTAGACTGGATATGAGTCTAAGGGGGTGGGTGTCTTTTGTCCCCGAACCCCACAAGAAAAATGGGTCCTCACACTATCTTTTCTTTTTGCTGCTGTATTTTCCAATTTCTCCTGCCAAATGTAATGATCTGAAGGAGAAGAAATTTGAAGAGGAAAGTGGCAAGATAAGCAATTTTCACATGCAGTATTTCTGAAATTAATTTTTGGATTTTTCCATGTAAAATCAGAGGACAGCTCAAGTGGGCTGCAGACCAGAACCAGCGCAGAAAACCCTAAATTTTTAAAAGTATCCTTACATGGAAAGATTAGAAAAATGCCCTGAGGATGGCGGTTTCCTGCATCTCTGTGGTAGCAGTAGCCAGACTCGCTACCCCCCCGGAGCCTGGTTGAAAGGCTCCTAGCCATGGGACTTTTGAGAGGTGGCCTCTTCGCCAGTCCGATGCTGGGGAATTGAGGCACTTCTCCATCCTGCTGTGCGTCCATATGGAACTAGTGACGCTGACCGGGACAAGCGCTGGAGATCGAGCAGTTTAAACAAAGTTACAGCAAGGTCGAACTATCGACCATGAACTGTGAGTCGGAATGGAGCATAATTGACAAGCTAAAAAGAAAGCTCCCACCCCACGGACTAGAGAGTAAAGTGAGTGGGTGAAGAAAGCTCCCACCCCATGGACTAGAGAGTAAAGTGAGTGGGGGAGGGGCCCCTCCCATGCGCATGAAATAAAAAGCGAAAATCGAGGGGGGAGCAGAAGTAAAAGCATTGAAATCTATTGAGAGAGACTTACCAGGGTGTGGATGAGTGTATGAGCACATATCCAGAGACTTTAGCAAACTTTCGGAGAGTAAACAATCCATAAAGATGGCAGGGAAGAGGACGGAGAAAGAAGAGATTTCAAAAGTGAAAGTAGTTGGGAGCCCTCGCCCGGAAGAAACCACCGAGCTGGCTAAAACGTTGGCAGAATCCCTGTGCCCCCTGCTGGACCAGATGACTAATCTCAAGGAACAGTTGCCAACGATGAATCAAAGCATCACTACTCAGCAACTACAATTGAATGAGACTCAAGATTATGGAGCAAACAGCTGAGAAAGTGAAAGAAGTTGACGCCAGTACTCAAAAAGTGAAGAAAAAGGTGCAAAAATTGGAAAAGAAGCAAGTTTCTACAGAAGAACAACTTTTGCAGCTGCAAATGGAGAAGCCATACCTGGTCCTCCGATTCCAAGGTGTCCCAGAATCCAAAGGTGAGAATCTGAAGAAAATAATGAATGAAGCATTGGCCCCAGTGACAGATTTTAAGGCGGAATACCTTATGAGCGAGATGGATGTGGCCTACAGGTCCTATTCCGTATACATAAAGAAGAAGAATCTGCCTGGGGAAATAATAATCAGATTCTCGAAGTGGCGCCTATCCTGAGAGCGACTACAGGGTCACCTTTGAAAATTGGGGACAATACTATTAGAATTTTGAAAGACATCCCATTTGAAATAAGACAACAGAGAAAGAAATATAAAGATTTAATTATTTTTCTTCAAACAAATGAAATTGTGTACAGGTGGTTAACTCCGGAGAGCGTAACCTTCAAACTTCAGAACAAAAAAGAAAAGATTGACTCTGTTTCCAAAGCACGGCAGTTTTTGAGAATCCAGATGGGTGAGCCAGAGGAGGTGGATAAAGAGGAGAAGGACAGCAAGTCCAGTGGCGAGTTGGACTCGGGGTCTTCCAGGGAGGACTCTCTTTCTGAAAAAGGGTCAGCTGCCCCAACTTCCAGTCTATGGATTGGTGATGGCAGTTGCTCTCCCCAGAGCTTGGGGAGGCGATCAGCACACCATCGGCATGGAGGGGTGCCACTTCAAGTGGCACTCCCATGGAGTCTTTGTGAAAGGCTCCAGGCCAGAGAGCTTTGAGGGTTAGCCTCTTCGACGGCTTGCTGCCAAAGAATCAAGGCTTCCCTCTGCTCTGAAGGTCCTACCGATGAGTGGCCTTAGGGCACAAGCTAACCCGACCGGGACAAGCAGGGGAGACCAAGCGGAACAACGATTGATGTGAGCGAGGTCAGAAATGTGACCAACAATGAACATGAGTTCTAAGTAAACGAACTTTGATAAACGGCACCCCCTCTCCCCGTGGGAAAAGCAGAGTGCAAAGAGGGACGCCTCTGAAGCACAAGGACAGATAAACACAGCGAAGGGGGAGTGGGAGGAAATAGACTGTGTGTGTATTTTGAGAGACTTACTTGAGTGCAAATAGCAAATTGATGAGTGCTTCGAGCCGGGGAGAAGTGGTTTGAAAGTGTAAACAAAGTTGAAAAATGGCGGCATCGCGAGGAAAGTTTAAAGCAAAGCCTCAGAGTCTGTGGCTGGAAGAGGGAGCTGACGTCATGAAGCTGTTAGCGGATATGCTCAAGCCAGTGATGGATCAGCTCGATGGTATTAACCAGCAACTGACCTCCTTAAATCAAAACTTCGCTTCACAACAGCGACAGCTGGCAGAAACGGAAAAAAAGTGGAGTTGGTGGCTGAGAAAGTTACAGAGATAGACACCTCAAGCAAGAAGATGAAGAAAAGAATGGGTGAAGTGGAAATGAAACAAAATCTTCAAGAAAATTGTTTGTTGCAGCTGCAAATGGAAAAGGCTAATATGATTCTCAGGTTCCAGGGGGTTCCTGAGACAGAAAAAGAAGATTTGAAAAAGACTCTGGGTGAGATTATCGCTCCAGTGACAGGCTTGCCAGCGGAGGAAATAATAAAAGACATGGAGACAGCTTATAGGGCTTACTCCAATTATATATATAAAAAATAGCCTGCCTGGAGAGATTGTGGTGAGATTTGCAAGAAGACCAGAGATGCTATATTAAAGGCAACTTCAGCAACTCCACTGAAATTTGGGAATACAATTATCAAGACTTTAAAGGACATTCCATTTGAAATTCATCAGAAGAGAAAGAGCTACAAGGAGTTAATTACTTTTCTTCAAACAAACGGTATACAGTACAGTTGGGCGATTCCTGAATGTGTCATCTTTAAAATCAACAATAGAAGGGAGAAGATAGACTCCATCTTCAAAGTCAAAGAATTCTTGAGACGTCAGTTGGGATTGGGGGAAGACTCTAAAGAGGAAGAAACTAAGTCAAATGACTCAGTTGCCTCTGGAACGGATGAGGACTCTGCCGCAGAAGCAGGTGCAGGAGCAATGAAAACTGTATATGATTTTAGAAACAGAAAGCTGAAGTAAGGGCAGAAGGACTCTGATAAATGGCCCTTTGAAACAAAATTCTATCATTATAACTAATTTACTAATACAGAACAATGTGGAAAACAAGAACTCTACAAGTATATTTTTTTACTAACTCTTTTAATACTAATATTAAGTTTAACATAAAGGGGGTCTCCCACTCTTGGATTTTTAGTTAGTGTGGGTATCTTTCCTTTATCCATAGTTGTAGTTCCCCTTCCTATATTTTTCTTTGTAGTTTGTAGTAATATTGAAAAAATAAAAATACCCCTCCGGGGGTTTCAAAAAAAAAGGGGGGAGGCGGCTGCCCCTAAAAGTCTGTACAAACTGAGGAAGACAAGATAAGAAAAAATGAAGGCTGAAGGACTCTGATTTGTGCCTTTGAAGGTATAGTTTTTAATAATGAGGTGCTCTGGGGTTTCTTAAGACTTAAAGTTTAAGACTTAAATTTAAGACTTAAAAGATATTTTAGCATGTCTGCCTAAGTTCAAAAGATATTAGGGTTTTAAGAAAAACTTTTTACTAAAGCAGTTGTAATTATTTCCTCTCTTGGGTTTTTAGTTAGTAGTGGTGTCATGACCCCAGAGGGGTCTTTGGGTTCCGCCGCCACCACCCGGACTTTCGGGTCCCTCGGGAGTCCCAGGGTATTTCCCAAGCCTTGCTGTCCGAGCACTATGGACGTGAATGACCCAGGCAAACACCCAAAATACTTAAGCGGAACAGGTTTTATTGTGGGAATGATTGGGGCAAGGTGCTGCAACTGGGTAACAGGGGGAAGGAAAACCAAAAGAAAATAAACTTTTAAAAAATGCATTAAAAAATGCAATAAAAAATCCCCTCTGGGGGGCCAAAAAAGAAAAGAAAAAGCAAATAGTATTCTGGAGTATTCTACCTCTGAGCTTTCTCCATTATCTTTGGTGTCTTTGCGCAACTCTTCTGTTCTAAAGACTCTTCAAAACCTGTTATGTTTCATTCAGATCTTTCCCCCAATCCCTAATGTTTGCCACTGCACCCCCACCCCCAAATGGTAACACAAGACAACAGAAAAATGGGTTAAAATAGTTCTATTTATTTAACAATATTCAAATTAACTAAACAGCTGATCTCCATCACTGCTTATTTCAATAAGGTGACAAGTTTGAGGGTGGGCTGCAGTAGGCATCCACCTGCTCTGCCTTTTGGACAAATCCCCCTTGGCTTGAAACTCAGCTGGAGCTTCTGCTGGCCTTGCTTATTGCTGCCTCCACAGCTGTATGTGCAGAAAGCCCTGAGATGCTGCCAGGTTGGAAAAGATGCTGCTCAGCACCAAGGATGCTCCTTCACAGTGCACCTAGCTACAAGACATGTGATGGCCTGCCCCCATTACACCAGATGTCTCAGAATGCTGTCTGATTAGCCCTACCTATCTTGAGCAATCTGCTCTATTCCTGTCTAACCAGTTTTACAACCAGGCCTATTTAATGGTAAAAAAAACCTGCCACAGAGACAGCATGAAGCA